TAGTGTATAAATGTAATGAAAGATAAATTATTAGTGTGTATATACATAATAGGTTTAATGGAGTAAAAGTTTGTTAATGAGTGACCATTGGACACAAAACCCCATGTCCCATTAGTCAAATTTTTCCCAGTACGATTTCATTCAATAGATAATTCAACTATGAGGCAACAAATAATGGGCATCAACATCCTAAAATTCATTTATTTCAAAACGCACGCATTCTAGATTTTTTGTTACTTTATTCCAAAAAGAGAGGAAGATAAAGACTTCTTGTTCTAGCTACATGTATGTGTATTGACGGAGAAGACTAAAAGAAAAATCAAAACAAAAAGAATAAGAAATCCAAAAACGAAAAGTAGAAGGAGATAAGCCTAAAAGAGCTGAAGGATGCAACGATAAGATCACCTTATTAAATTGAGAATTTTTTTGCGGAATATGTCGGAGCAGTGGATGTGCACAACTTACCAAATAGATTTACATATTTACTTTTAGCGTCCTTTGGCAATAGGTTCATTTTCCTTGAATTAATTTAGTTTTTAATAAATGAAGATTGTTTGAATTGACATCGAGACATCAATTAGGTAAATCCTGTGGGAAAAAATCTCTTTTTTTTTTTAATCCCTCCCCCCTCCCCCGATTCCCTCTCATTCCCAAACTGCCAGCGAGGGATCAACAGGGAAGAGACTAAAATCCCTTGCCCTGATGATTGGGACAAAAATCTTATGATACAATACAATATGAGTAAATCTTATATACACTAACGGCGTATACACTATCACGGTTGGATATAAGATACATATGTAAAATTTGAATTTCAAATTCAAATTTGAATTATGTGTTATACATCTAATAATGAAGGTATATATACTATCAATGTATAGAAAATTAATCCATATAATATTTTATGTTATGAGAAGTTTTGGGTTCGAATTCTCTTACTTACACTATTGAAAAAATCTTATTTTATTACATAAAATCTCTCAATCATTAATTCCTTGCCTTAATAAGAATGGAAGCTGATAATTTCCAAAATATAATAGAATATTGCAAAATCTCAACCCAAAATATCTAACAACTGAGAAAGATTTCTTTTATCACTGCTCGAGCAATTTGCGTATCATTGTTGATGCGAATAGGCGACATTTTCTCCATCTCTCAATTCCACAAATTTCATTGGATAATTAGCGTCGAGAAGCGGCGGCCCAATTGTGGATAAACATAAAATTTGACCTACAAAATTTGTTGGCCCACTTTTACTTGTGGACCCAAAATGCTTTTCCAATTTAAAGAGGGTGGCATAAAGCTCCGTTTGTTTGTGGCTAATTCCTAATGCAATGTTACCTTGTTCATCATTATCATTAATTGGTCGAAATATTAGTAGTTCTTTAATGCCCACTCGGTCGAAACATCTTCAAAGGTGATGCAAACGTGGCCTATGATTTGAGAGACTCATTCAACTCTTATGGGTTATAGGATAGAGATGATTCAGTCAGATGGCCCAATGATATATAATATTTCATAAAAAATGTATCAACGAAAAGTGACTGACAATTACGACATTTCTAATCGATAAATATAAACATGAAAATTTTAAAATTAAGGAGACGAGTCATCTTTTAATTTATTTTTATCTGTTAAATTATATAGCATTTAATATAGGATTTTCCTTTTACAAAATACTAAAATTCAGTATTTACAACATGTAGGTTCACTTTTTGCTTTAGAGCTAATGGATTGTATTCATAACAAAACGAAGTGGAGATTGCCTTGTCACTCGCTTGTTTGTACATGTTTGTTGCTAATATTTAATTGGGGAATGTGACTCTGCCTAATTGATGCCACGTATGCATTTACAACTAAGGTTTAGTGACTCCAATTTACAATAGTTCACATTACTTACTTCTAAAATTAATATTCTTTATTTTGTTTGTTGTTTGACTAAGACTCTAAGGCTTGTTTGAAAACCCAATTCAACATTTAAATTCAATGAATTCAAATTTTAATACGGTCAAATGCATTTGATAACATAAAATAAAACATTTGAATTAATTAACTAACACTGAATTATTTAGATAAAATTTGCTCCCAAAAAAATAAGTTATAAGCTATTCGCTTATTATTTAATATAATATATACTCAAATGTATCAGATTTAGTACTTAATAATTCAATAATTTAATGAATTCAAATTTCAATTTTCAGTTTTCAGAGTTAGTTTTATTAAACGTACTCTAACTCTGACAAAGAAAAAGGAGAAAGGAGAAAGGAGAAAGAGGAAACTTAAGAGAGCCAACTGAATGAGCTAGATCCTTGGGTCTTTATAAGGTTAAAATACACTATAGGTTATTAAATATTTTAATATTTTATCTTGTCCATTAAACTATTTTCTATATCACATAGGCCATTGAATACCTAAAAGTTAAGAATGGCAACAGGACGAGGGTGGGGTGGGGAATCTCCTCTCTGTCCTCCGTCTCATTGCCAAATACCTACCCCTGCCCTAGCTTCCCCTGCCCATCTCCTCCTATAGGTGCTCGGGGGAAAAGACAAAAATTCGATCATTTGACTGTTTGCTTTCACAAAAACTAACAAAAACTTAATGCAACTCAATTCACCAACAAAACCAAAAACCAGAATAGCAACATGAGTCATAAGTTAAGCATTTTTTTTCAAATGGTAACAGATTTCATTGCCAACAAAATCTTACAAAGTATTAGGGCAACTACTCCATCATGTCATTCCTAGATGCACTTTTAAGCCAGAAAGGAAAGTCATCTTTCCAACTAACATCAAAACAACAATTTAAGGCATTACAGAGAAAGCAAATTCTAATTGACTCATGTGGCACAATTCAATTTGACTCAGTGATGTAACATTTCAAACTGATAGTCAAATTGAATAATTCCTAAATTAGTCAAATATAAAATTTACACAAGATTAATTACTTAATATTACACATAACTAATTGCTAGTTTATTTTAATTAGAATGAATTTATAATTAGTAGTTTTTATGTATACTTATATATATATATATATATATATATATATAAATTAATTGAAGCAGGGACGAGGCTCACCCTGCTTAAGGCGGGAAAAAATCCCCTCTCTCTAGCCAAACCCCAACCCCTACCCCATTTCTTCCCCCGCGGGGTGGGTTTCATTGTCATCGCTATGAAAAGTGCTTTGTTAAATACAATGTTTTGAAAATCAGACCAGATCGGGCGGTTCGACTGGTCAAACCGGCTATGCCTCTGGTCCGGTTCAATTAAAAAGCAAAGAATTAATTGAACCGGTCAAGAACCGGTAAATACTAGTAAAAATTGGGAGGTTCAACAGGTTTTTATTAAGTTTTTATTTTATAAAATAAATATTTTAGTTTTATTCAAAATTCTTAATACTAAAATGACTAAAAAATTATTAAACCTTTGAACTGGGGTTGAATCGATTGAACCAATCGAATCATAAATTAGAAGGTTTTCCGGCTCACTCTCCGGTCCAAGGTTAAAAACATTGGTTAAATATTACTATTAAACCGTTGGGAGTCAAGCCACGTAAAAGGCACGCCTATTCTAAAGGCACACTGAGGATATTTCACATAAAATCAATTGGCCCAAAATCAATTAACACATCTCCGGCCAACAAAGTTCGAAAGCAAATCTGTTAGCCTAATAAAAGGAGAAAATTGAAAGGTGCCAAGAAAACAACCTCCAAATATCCCAAATTGCCCATATGGCTTGAATTGCATACTTGAAACTTCATAGACACCCTAGAACCCCAAAAGAATGTTTGCTATTTTTGTTGTTGATGAGGTAAGAGAATTGTGGAAGTTAATTTACATAGCTGGGGATTTAAGTATTTTTCTTTAATTGTTGAAGTCTATCCAAGTTCTTTCTCTGTGTGATTTTGAGATCTTTAGATTAAACGATTTGGGATTTCTAGGGAATTTTATAAAAGTCAGGCATGAATTTAGGAACTCAAGAGTCTCTACTAATAAGCCGCATCATCAATTTCAGGTTGGTGGTTTTTGATCAAAATGTTCCTCTCATACAGGATGTCTCTTGTCTAACATAATAGCTAGATATAACGAAATGGTCTAGATGAAATTTAGTGGATTTTTAGCATGAAAAATTATTGAACAGGTGAAATTTTTTTTGAAAATTATGGATTCGTATGGATTAAGTGTTTTGAAAAACTTTATTGTAATTTCGTATATTGAAAACTTTCATTGTAGATGTGTTTTGAGGAAATTTTTATAATTTAAAACTTTGTTTGATATTTTTAAATTTTTTTATCCTCCCTTCCTCAACCACCTACCACCACACTCCTCTAACCCTTACACCTCGTTTCCCGTTCACTACCAATACCTGAGATCAACTCCCCTTCCCCCTTTCCTCCCTCATCCTCTTCCCCCTCCCTCCTCGTCTACCTCTTCCCGTCACTCTTCTGTACCAAAAGGGGAGGGAAGGATTGGAGGGGCAAACAAAATCCCAATTAACATGGTGTTGTTTTTAAAAAAATTTTTTGGTTGAGCCGTAGGGGAAGTTCCTTTGAATTCTATCTAGCTCATCGCATAAAGAAGCAGGAAGAGGTGTTGCTTGACCATTGTCCTATTCCATTAGTAAGGCCTTGTTTAATAACCTAATTCAGTATTTAAATTTAATAGATTCATATCTTAACATGTTCAAAAGCATTTGATAACAAAAAAAAAAAATTGAATATCGAAATTAATTAAGTGGCACTAAATTTTCTAGGCAAAATTTGCTCCAAAATATAAATGATAAAGTATTTACTTATCAATTAATGTGTTATATAGTTAAATGTATCCAGTGGCGGAGCTAGGAATTAACTTTGGGGGGAACGAGTCTATAGCAATGAAAGTAAAATATATTTTCAAAAAAAATAATGTGAACATATATACCACAAGATTAGAAACAACCTTATATAGAATGAAAATTACTTATACGCTTCACATATACAAAAATATCATCATATTTACAAATCTATTTGACTGTGTGGGACATATGAAATTGTGCACGGCGACTTTTAATTTTATCAAAGTCATCAATGATTGAATTTATATCAAAAGTTCTAGCAATTTCTTTCTCAATATACATTATCATAGAGTTAGCAAGAAAGTCTTCCTCCATCCTAGAATGCAAACAAGTCTTGATCATTTTCATAGCAGAAAATGCACGCTCTGTTGTAGCTGTTGAAACAGGAAGAGTCAAAATAAGACGAATCAACCTATCAATAAGAGTATAGCACATTGACTTTCTTGTCTTTGCTAACACTTGGCACAACTCCTGAAGTGATGACAAATTTTGAAGCTGAGAATTACAGGAAAACTCAATCTGGAAAAGCTCTAATTGAGTTCTTAAGTGTAACTTCTCTTGATTTGTGAAGTTAGCTGAATAAAACTTGTTTGCAAGTTGACAAATTCGTTCAATATTGAAAGCCTGAAAATTATCTTTGGGGTACAATGCTGAACTAAGAATAAGCAACTCTATTACATCTTCCTTAAACCTATTCTTCATTTCAAGTATTTGAGAATCAACCGTTGCCAAAAACACATCAATCCTGTAGTGTAATTGGATCATTTTGTTTTCGAATTCTTCCTCGACCTGCTTTATAAATGACATTCATATCAGGCATCTCTATATTTCGTGCATCACAAAATGTCTTTACATTGGTGAACAATTCATTCCATCCATTATCTCTGTAACTTTGAAGTCGATCCTTAGTTACTAAAACCAATTTAAGGGCATTCAAAATATCTTGAGATTTGCATTGTAAAGCTTGAGAAAGTACTTGTGCAAATCCTAAAATGTCCCTCATCATATGCATAACAAAAACAAAATCAAAGGATGCTATGAAATCGTAAACTCTGTGAGCTTCACTTCTTTGAGTTGATGTATTTCCATAATTGATAACATCAATTAGGACAGAGCAAATGTCTTCATATTATGTGAATAAGCTACAGATACAACTAAAATGAGACCCCATCTTGTAGTCCCTAGCCGTTTTAAGGTACCAATCTGATTCTGACCCCTACCAGTCTCAAGTTCATCTATAGCAATCAATTCAGCAATTCTAAGCAGCTCGGGCAACTCTCAGTTGGCCCACACGTTTGCAAGAAGATGAAATTAAATTTATAAGAAGAGATAAGTATGTAAAGAATTGTTTCACAGGAATTACCTCTTGAGATGTTGCTACCAATGTTAATTGCAGTCGATGAGCAAAACAGTGAATATAATATGCATAGGGGCACTCCTGAATAAATAATGCTTGCAGTCCATTCCATTCTCCATGCATGTTACTAGCTCCATCATATCCTTGGCCACGAATGTTTTGCACACTAAGATTATGGCGAGAAAGTACATCACATATCTCCTTCTTCAAAGTCAAGGAATTGGTTTCGTGCGCATGAACAATGTCAAAAAATCTCTCTCGAATATAGCCTTGCTTGTCCACAAATCTAAGAACAATAGCCATTTGCTCTCTTTTTGATCTATCTTGAGCCTCATCAACAAGTATAGAAAATTTTGAATCACTAATCTCCTCTCGAATATACTTTTGTATCTTGCTTGACCAAATGGACAATATCTCCTTTTGGATCGTAGGAGAAGTATAAGATGCATTTCGAGGAGCATTATCAAGGACCACAGCAGCCACTTTTTAATTATAAGAAGACACATGCTTGATCAACTCAATAAAATTACCTCGATTGTTAGAATCTAAACTTTCATCATGACCCCTAAAAGCCACCGCTTGAAATGCACACCATTTTGCAGCATCTATGGAAACTTGAAGTTGCAACCGATTTTTTGCAACCTACTCAGAATTTTGCTTCTCAATAATTTTATCAAGATGTTGCAATAAGTTTCCCAAATCATGATAGCATTGTATTGCCACTTTGTGTGATGAGTTAGGATCTTTTCCAATGTGATTTAAAAAAGCACAATTTTTTCCATCATTTACCTTCTTCCATGATCTAAATCCACTAGTTGTGAAGGCCATTGATCCAAAATGGTCTGTTGGCTTGGAAAAAAGTGAGCAAGGAAGACAAAAGGCAGCATTCTTTGTTGGAGAAAATTCCAACCAATCTGGAAACAATTTATACCAAGAGAAAAGGAAACGTCGGCCCTTCTTGTCAACAACCATTGATTCAATCGGAAGCTCGGGTTGGTATAGCCCAAACTTAATATATGCTCTCCGTACCTCATCCCTTTGATGCTTTAGATATTCCCAAATGGATTTTTGCTTTCCAGGATCACATTCTATGGATGAAATATCAAACTCTAATGATTCAGCTCTACAAAATTTCTTTGTTTGATGCTTAGGAGAAGAATCACGAAGAGGACAAGGAGTTTCACCACTTCCACTTGGTTCTAGACGTCTTTTCTTGAAAAAAGAATCAATTGTCCTGTTGGCCATTACCACTATATTTGCAACAAAACAACAACCTGCAATCGAAATAAAATTGATTGAGAAATGCTGGTTATGGCCTATAGAGATGGGAATTTGACCAATGCAAAAGACTGGTTTCCCTAATTCCGTTACAAATTTCGGCCATTCAGCCTGACTGAAAAGCCCGGCCATCACCCAAGGAAGCCAACAGGATCCTCAAAATAAAATTAGTATGAAAATTGGAAAAGGAAACCAGTCTCAGAATCAACTAAAATAAATGCTTATCACCCGAATTCAGAAGGCCAAGTACGAAAAACAATACAAGTCCCTCTCGAGCAATTCATCAAACAACTGGCGGGCAAACTTTTTACACTCACATTTCACTAAATAAATGCAATGTCAAACTAACCTGGTAAATGGTAATAGCTTGAAATTTCAGAGCTTTTGGTACATCCAGTTTCAAAGCCACGCGTTTCAACTTTTGCAGAAAAATTCGGGTGAGAACTGAGGAGTTACAATTCTCTGCCATAGAGTATTAGCTTGTATTTTGAAATGAAAAAAAAAAAATACTAAAGATCGAAGAGGGAATTGAAGTTGGGGGTTGAGAGTTGAGGCTTTTCTGTAAGAAGGAAATAAGAGGTGAATTGGTGAAAAACGGCAATTGTGAAGTTCAGAAAATAGTAGGTAAGTTATTTGGACCAAGTCTGTTGTTCTCCGTTAAGAAAATAGTGGCAATTCTCTGTTATTTGGACCAAGTCCAAATAACTTTCAAACATTATTGTTTGGGCCCTTGGGGGCAGCAAAGTGAATTTTTTGATCAATTTTTAGGGGGGCAAAACATAATAATAAAAAATTCTTTACTTAGAATTTTTTTTTTAACAATTGGAGGGGGGCGGTTGCCCCCCCTGGCCCCCCTTCCCTCCGCCCCTGAATGTATTAGATGTAGTACTTAACAATTCAATAATTTAATAACTTAATGAATTCACACTTCAATTTTAGATTTCAGTTTTAGTTTTCATATTTCAGTTTTATCAAACATACCCTAATTCTATATCCCATGCCTAATATAAATTAAAGACCAATCCAATCTAATCATCAATGACTTGATCGTGGTGTCGTAGTCAGACTTATTCAAATACAATTAGAGCGAGACTTGATCGTGCCTGTGCAACTCAAGATTTTCTAGACTTATTCCTTGAGTCAAAAATCAAACATATGCACTCTACATTCTCTGATCATTTGCCTATAGTTTTTAGCTTTGAGAATTTCATTAAATTTTCAAAGACTAAAAATAAGGTGAAGAGATTTAAGCGTTTTATGTTTGAAGCCATGTGGATAAAAGCGGATAATTGTGAAAACATATTCGTCAATCTTGGGAAAATACATTTGCAAAAAATGCTTGTGTTAATTTGTTAAAGAACACTGATGAATGTCGAATGGGTCTTTTACAATAGAGCAAATCAAAATTTGGTAATGTTTGTTCTGCAGCAGATGATCTAAGGAAAAAGATTGCTAAACTATAGCAAGGGACTCTCACTGATGTTATTAAGGTTCAAATTGGAACTTTAACAAATCAATTAGAGGATGTTTTGGATCGGGAAAATACTATGTGGAAGCAAAGGAGTAAAACTCAGTGGTATCGAGAGAGAGATCAGAATATAGCTTTTTTCCATGCACATGCATCCAAACGAAGAAAGAAAAATTAGATAAATGGCCTTTTCAACGATGTCGGGCAGTGGTGCAATTCCTATGACGATCTTGAGAACATTATCTTAGACCACTTTGGATCCATTTTTTCTAGTTCAAAGCCATCCCCTGAGATAATTGATGTAGTTTTAGATAGGGGGCAACCTAAAGTATCTAAACGAATGAATGATTCGCTGATGCAAACTTACTCAACTTTTGAGGTAACAAAAACTTTAAATCAAATGCATCCTTTTAAATCTCCCGGTCGTAATGGCATGTTTCCAATATTTTATCAGAAATTTTGGCATGTCGTTAGTCAGGATGTAGTTAAATGTGTTCTTGACTTCCTGAACAATGGGCTTTTTAATGATCAATTGAATTTCACTTACATTGTGCTTATCCCAAAATGCCAATGTCCATCCAATATAACTCAATTTCATCCAATTAATTTATGTAATGTAGTTTATAGATTAGTTTCTAAGGTTATAGCTAATAGATTAAATAAAGTTCTTTCAAAAATTCTCTCTCCCTTTTTATTTACTTTTATTCCTGATCGTCTCATTACAGATAATATCCTAATAGCTTATGAAGTTAATCACTTTCTTAAATCCAAGTCTATAGGCAAAGAGGGATCCATGTCCATTAAATTGGACATGAGCAAAGCTTTTGATAGGGTTGAGTGGCCTTTTCTTAAAGGAATGTTGTTGGATTTAGGTTATCATCTATCTTTTGTTGATCTTATTTCCAGTTGTTTTTTTACTGTTTATTATTCTTTTCAGCTAAATGGTGTTCAATTTGGTTATCTGTGACCTCAGCAGGGCATTAGACAAGGCGATCCAATTTCTCCGTATTTATTTGTTATATGTCCAAAGGCTTTTTCTTGTCTATTACAAGAATCTGAGGCTTGTGGTAAATTGTTAGGAGTTCAAATAGGACAGAGTGGCCCCAATCTTTCTCATTTATTATTTGCAAACAATACTTTGTTATTTGACAAAGCGACACTACACGAAGCTCAACATATTCAGGATATCTTGCAACTGTATAAGAAGGCTTCTAGGCAAGAGATCAATCTTGAGAAATCAGCTATGGTTTTCAGTAGTAACACATAGTTGTCAACCTAAAAAGATATTAATCAGTTCCTGAATATTAAAAAGTGGTCGTGTGAGAACCCGAAAATTTTCTTATTTTTATAGAATATTATTGGAATATTTAAATGATTATTCACTCATTTTCTTCGAATTATTTATTTCGACCATTTTAAATCCATTTATATGGAATGACGCCTCTTTATAATTTTAAAGCGTTTTGTTGAAAAATTCGCTTTTCGAAAATTTGATTAGTCCGGAACGACGGGTGCATGTTTTTCTAGGCTATACTTGAATAGGGAGTGTATTAATATTGAAGAATTAAAAACGATCAATAATAGATTAAGAAAGGTTAATGGAGGAATTAATACTCAATTCACGTGAGGACTCGTAAAATTATTATTGTTAAAACCCCTAATTTTGGCTCAATTAATTATCTATTTGGATTTTTGCCCCGAATATTATTTTCTATCCTTATTAGACCTAAGTACATGGTTTTATAGCTTCGTTATATTTTTAAAGTATCTCGTTTCAAAAATTATTTTCTTAGAAACTTGTTTAGTGAAAAAGTGAAAACGTGTCTAAACACTTTAGCCAATTGGGAGTACAATAAGCTCAAAATTTGAGACCTATACAATGGTCCTAAAATAGACAATTTTAGGTTTAATCACACAAGTGATAGCTAGGGGTACGATCGTTATAAGAATTTTTCAAAGGTTTTAATTTTTATTACGCCTAAATTAGAAATACGTGTTTTCACGTGCGCGCTTAATTGAGGGACTTTGGACCATTATTTTGGGACAATTAAGAATGAATAATATTTATATGAATGTAAGGGCCCTAGAGGTTTAGTGCACTAGTGCAACAAACGTAAGAGAAATCGGATACAAAACGCGCGCGTAGGGTACTAGTTAAAAATTGATTTGACGTATCAAAGGATTTGACGTCAAGCGTCTTTTGTACGCAAAGGCTACAGAGCCGAAATTCATTTCCTTTTCTCTGCTACAATGGCCGGCTAGACTGCAGCAAAGGAACAACCAAAGTCACCATTTCTTTTCTTCTAAAACTCAACCAAATTCCTACCAAAACTTCCATAGATTCTCACCAAACTTCACATTCGTTTAGCTTTTCACTTGGACAACAACTTAGGCTGGAAAAGGGAGGAGTTTCACGGCTGTCTTCAGGCTTCATAGGGACCGAAATTTTCTGATTTGAACAGCCATCAAAGTAGGTAGCCATCTAACTTCTTAAACTTGTTTATGGAGTTTGATTTACGCATTTGAGTTGGAATCTTTACTTTAGTAGCTTGTATTGTTGGAAAAAGTGGGCTCTATGAATTCCCACTCTTGGGTTGTTGCTGATTCTATGCTTGATGAAGTTTATGATGACGGATTAGTGTTTAAGTTAGTGTTTCGTCGAAGAAAAACTGCAGGAAACTCACGTAGAGAGCAAGGGCCAAACTTGACCATTTTGCCCCTGCTCTGTTCGGTCATTTTATTGCAGAAATTGAGGATTTAATGGCTTGATTGTGTATTTTACATGTTGTAGAAGTTGTGTACAAAATTTCGTTGAAAAATATTGAGTTTTGGTTGCTCAAACAAATTTATTTCAAAAACTAGTAAACTGGAAAACGGTTTCGCCGTAATCCAGACCAGTGGTTGTATTTCGTCCATAACTCCGTACTCCGATGTCGAAATCAGGTGCCGTTAGTGGCATTTGAAACTAGACATTTCCATATTTTTATCGGTGTATAATGCACGTCCTGGTTTTATGTGTGTGAGCCACACCATTCATCTGAAGTCGGCTGTCCTGTTTCTCCGTTCTGCCGAAATGATTTGATAATGCTGCAACTTGAGCCTTGATTTTGAACCAGTTGCATGCTGAAACTTGAAACGATTTCTTCTGTGAAGTTGTAGCCCTATGAATTTATTTTCTAAAACTATCAACCATTCCCAATTCCGAGTTAAATTGAGAGAGTTATGATCAAAATACGGCAACTGCTCGTTTTGAAAATCTTAGATTTGGACAGATTGCCTTAAGGATTTTTCCAAACTTTGGTTGATTGAATGACCCCCCTCCCGAGGGTATTTTTCCATGAAATTTGATAGAGAGATAACCTTCATATGGAAGTATTATACTGCAAAATTTGGTGTCAATCCAAGTCCGTTTCGGCACTTAACTAAAGGTCCAAAGTTGGAACCAAATCTGGAAATTTTGTAACAGTCTTGAATTTTTCCCAACTTTGAGCTACCATAT